AAAAAAAAAAAATTCCAAGCTAAAATAACATCACATTAGATGAAAATTCTGTGGAATTGGAATAGAAATATGGATTCAAGAATAAAAAGGGGTAAGTGCATATGAACAATCTTTGTATCTTTCACTCATTGTGCAGTGAACCTAAAACTTCTCTGAAAAATAAATTGTCTTTAAAAAAAAAAAAGGAATCAAAAAGAATATCATAAACTGTCTAGTTGCTAAAGATATATAAACATTGCAGTGATTTGATACCCACCCAATACTATGGCATTTCATTGGATTTATTTTAAAAAGAGACAAAACAATCGTATTTTAAGGTGTAAATAAATATTTGTAGCCTGCTGAGAAATTATACCCTTTGCAACTACTCAAACTTAAGATGAAAAACTTTTTAAGTTTTTTTTTTATGTTTTGCTTATTTTTGAGAGAGAGAGAGACAGAGAGAAAGACAGAGCGTGAGCAGGGGAGGGCAGAGAGAGAGAAGGAAACAGAATATGAAGCAGGCTCCAGGCTCTGAGCTTTCAGCACAGAGCCTGATGCAGGGCTTGAACTCACCAGCCATGAGATCGTGACCTGAGCCGAAGTTGGATGTTCAACCGACTGAGCCACCTAGGCACCCCAAGATGAAAAATTTTATATATCAAGCTAAAATTGTGCAGGCAGGCTGAGTTGGACATCATCTTTTATAGAGTAAACAAGCAGAAAATCTGGACACTTCTACGTGAAATCATGCCATACACATTTCCACCTCCATGCTTTTATGCACACCATTCCTCCTGCCCTTGCATCCCCATCCTTCAAAACCCAAGTCAAATCCTACTTCTTCTAAAACTCTATTTATGACCCTGAAATGGGGTTTCTTCCTGTCGGGAACCTGTGTAGCACTTACCTGTGCTGCTCATTTGGCACATGTGTATTCGTCTTTGGATTATTTTGTTTTAAAGTTTATTTACTTATTTTGAGAAATCACACACAAGCGGGGTAGGGGCAGAGAGAGAGAGAGAGAGCGAATCCCAAAAGTTTGGGTCGTGGTCTAGAGAAATGGAAGAATTTCTGCTTTTGTGTCAAACTCAGTTACAACTATGCAGATCAAACCTCCGTCTTGGCCTCCTTGGTCTAGAACCCCATATTCCAGAGGCAGTCTAGATAGCAATGACTGTTCCTCCAATAAACAGAAGTGTTCTTCTCAGAGAATGCTTCTTGTTCATACGTTGCTTTGAGCCCTACAACTCAAACTTAACTTCTTTTAAGTTAAATAAGGTTTCTATTTCTGAATTGAACCTTTCCAAATAAAAATATTTTGCTGGGAGGAAAAAGTAGAATTTTTGAGAATGCCTTGTCAGGATGCTGAAATTTTTGTGTTTCCCTTTGGAAAATATAATAGAGATGATATAAGACTGGAGGGAATGAGGTTCTTGACAAGCAGTGAGGCAGATGGAGGAAAAAGCTCAAGTTTAAAAGAGCATGGGGAGAGAAAGAGCCCCAATGTTGATTCGTAGATTAAAAATTACATGCATATGTTATACTGCCCCCCTGAGATGCTCTGTTCTCAAATAATTTAAATAGGTGGTATTACAGAGTTGGCTCTTAGTTCACTAAGGGAAGTTAGCTGAGAGTTACAACACTGGGGTTAAGACTCTAGGAGCCAGATGGTCCCATGCTCCCTACTTACTGCATATCTTTCATTGTAGTCTCCACAGTGCCGAGGTTGCCTGGAAGTTTATAAGGTCTTCCTAAGGTGTGCTTCCTGCCAGAGATGTAAAGCAGAAGTGAGCAGGCTCTTGCTTCTGTTCCTGATTATATCACGCATATGTTGGGGGCAGCGGGGGGCGGGGGGGGGGGGGGGGGGGGGGGGGGGGGGGGGGGGTAGGCTGAGCCAAAGCTCTCTCTTTCCCCAGCTACAGAGGACTGCCTTGCATTAGCTCCTGGTATCGCCATACCTAACGCTACTCTGTTCATTCTCAGCATCAACATCTTAGGGATGGATCCCCTAAGCACACCTTTTGACAATGAGTTCTACAATGGATTCTGTGACCGGGTTCGGGACGGAAATACCTTGGTCTACTACCGCAGGCCCTGGAACGTGGCTTCTCTGGCCTATGAAGTAAGTCTCAGAAGCGACCACATTGCCCAACTTTTAGCTGAAAAGCCACTTCAATAAGTTTAACACTAAATAATTTGAAAAGTCCAGTGGAATAAGAATTTGATGTGAATATAAGACTGACTTAAAGAAAAAGGGGTGTGGCTTCAATCTCTTTTGAAAACACACGGTGGTCTACAGCCAATCCTCAGTAATGTGCACATAGCAATAGAGTTTTGGCAAATACCTAGACCCCATAAAGAGAATCATCTAAGATCCTGATAAAACTAAAAACTAAATTAATGCTGATTTAAGTACTGGGTACACTGCTTGCATGCTCTTCAAGACCATTTTTTTGCTAGCCTACCAGTGAAAACCCATCTTTATATTCCCTTTGGTAAAGCCTGCTTGACTAATGTGAATGGCTCTTTTCACTAACCTCACACCTCTCTAGCTCCTGTAAAGCTATTTCTTAAAATGACTTTTACTCTACACAATGCCACCCCAAATGTAATCATCTTCCTAAGAGTCACCTAAATTCTCTAGAACCATCACAAACTGGACCTGTCCATTTAAAAGATTAGTATTTATCTGGGGCACCTGGGTGGTTCAGTTGGTTGAGCATCCAACTTCGGCTCAGGTCATGATCTCGCAGTCTGTGAGTTCGAGCCCTCTGTCGGGCTCTGTGCTGACAGCTCAGAGCCTGGAGCCTGCTTCTGGATTCTGTGTCTCCCTCTCTCTCTGCCCCTCCCCTGCCCATGCGCGCGCTCTCTCTCTCTCTCTCTCTCAAAAATAAATAAACATTTTAAAAATTTTTAAATAAATAAAAGATTAGTATTTATCACCTTTAGAGAGACTTGATCTAAGCAAGATATAATAAAGAACAATAATTGGCTTATTCTCAACCAGAAGTGACAACAATTTGTTTTCTTAAATGGTCTCATGCGTGACCCATAAAGTTTGCTTTATTCAGTTTTCACAGAGTCCTTTATTACTATTGTTACAATGGTTTCAAAAACACATACACTTTTAAATGAATACAGTTGATATTTCTATTATTTTTAACAATGTTTAAAACAATACCTACCCATTGTAACCTGAAGTGATCATGCTTTCCCATAAATACTAAAGAGTTTAAAGTCTGAACTATTTGGAGGGCATTTTTTTCCATATGCAACCACATCACCCTATATTTTTGTACCTGTAAGTCCAGAATGGAATCAATTTCCCCCCAAATTTCAGGGAACATGTTGGATTATTGATCTTTCCCCATGGATGCCAGATTTACCCTCTTTAAGCACATTTTTTGAGGGGAAGACGATCTTTCTAAAGAGTATTACAAATGTTCCACTTTCTTAAAAAAAAAGAACATACCAAAGATAAGGTGACCTTTGTCATTGCTGATGGAAGAAGGGCTTGTTGTCTTATTTAATTTTGTTTCTCATCTGTGTCACAGTTTTCCTGTCGTCACTGTGACCAGCCTCTTGGCTCCTCTATAGGTAGGAATGGCTGCAAGTGACACAAGATGGTGAGGGCTGGGGCACTGCGAGGGACTGACCCTGAAGCTCCATTCGGAGAGCAAATACAGTGTTTTCTCTTATTTGCAACCCTGGAAACAGAGGGACTTCTGCACTCAGCGTAGTTTGGATTTTACAGAGGAGATGTGTTGCTTACCTTGTATATTACTTACACCCCCAGGGGAGCTGGGAGTAGCGTCCCATAACCAAACACATTGGATGTGGACCTGGATTTTTAGTTGGTGTCAACTGATAGGATAAGTTGGCTGGGAGTTTGCTAACGTCCCCAAATCACCTTCTTGGTGCTACAACTGCTGGTGCTCCCCCCACTCTAATCTGTTGTAGGCTTGGGAAATAGCCAAATTTGTTTCTGCCATACAGAAAAGAACCTAAGTGGAAATCTCTATTTTGACTTCTTAGAATTTCTTTTTGCACTTTCTAATATTCAATGTAATATTTTACCTCTTTTTTCATGCATATTATTACAGTAATTGAAGGCAAAGAATGCATTTTTATTTTATTTTGTTTTGTTTCGTTTTATTTTATTTAAATTCAAGTTAGTTAACATATGGTATAATAATGGTTTCAGAGAATAATTTAGTGATTCACCACTTGCCTATAACACCCAGTGCTCATCCCAACAAGTGCCTTCCTTAATGCCCATCACCCAATTAGCCATCCCCCCACTCAACGTCCATCTAGCAGCCCTTAGTTTGTTCTCAGTATTGAAGAGTCTCTTGTGGTTTGCCTCCCTCTCTGTTTTTATTTTATTTTTGCCTCTCTTCCCCTATGTTTATCTGTTTTGTGTCCTAAATTCCACATATGAGTGAAATCATATATTTGTCTTTCTCTGAATGGCTTATTTCACTTAGCATAATACATTCTAATTCCATCACATTGTTGCAAATGGCAAGATTCATTCTTTTTGATTGCCAAGTAATATTCCATTGTGTATATATGCGTGTGTGTGTGTATATATAGATGTGTGTGTGTGTGTGTGTGTGGTGTGTATATATATATCTATCTATATATATATATATGTATATATATATCCCATCTGAAGGCAAAGAATTCATTTTATACTTCTTTATATCCTATTATACTAATACCCAACTCAATATATGTATATGGAATATGCTCAACAAATTTTTATTGGATGAATTCATTTGTTTAAATCCTATTTTATTACTCATTGACAATAATTTACTGTCTTTTATTTTTTTTGAAAGAACTTTACTGGCCTATCATGATATGAAGAATATTTCTTAATGTAAAGTCATCTTTCCCTGATACCTTCACACTCTCTCAGTGCCTCTTATCTCAAATGTGGCTCTGGTTCTAGAACACACTGCATAGGTTGGAATCCCAATTCTGCCCCTAAGCAGTGGTGAGATCTCAGGCATATTATTTATCCTCATCATGCCTCAGTTTACTCATCTTTAGAATAGAAATAATGATACCTACCTTGTAAAGATAAATGAATCTAAAACACTCAGGAAATTAGTGGCACATAGCAAACACTCAATAAATATTTGTATTATTCTTTCTTAAGAATATAATTAGTAAAAGGCTTAGCTACAATTAAGTGTGTAATTAACAGTCACATTACATGTCAAGGTTTATTGGCTACTTTGTAAGTCAGAAGTAATGGCTAAGAACCACTGAAGCCCGCAATTATGGGGAAAAAGCAGTGATGGTTACATGCACAAATCAGTTCCTTTTCACTTGTTTTCCTCTGGTCCTCTCCACTTTTGTTGTTGAAAGTCATGATTTGTAAATCAAGTTTCAGGTTTTCATTACAATTTTCTTTAAACTGGATCACCATAAGTATGTAAGATTTATGAGATCAACAAAGAATTGTAAAATGCACTTGGATTATAATCATCTTTTCCTGCCCAAATCCTGCCAAAACCCTGGGTGACTTATATCCTGTGGCTGCCAATAACTTCTTGTTGCCTCTTAACATCCTGTATCTGTTCTACGACAGCTACTCACATCTGGAGCCACATCCTTAACCTGCGTTCACCAAAACAGTGCTGTCTCTGAAAAATCTGAACATCAGGAAATCGAGCATTTAACTCTTTGCCTCACTGCAACTGACCAGTCTCTCTGCTCTCACATTTGTTTAGACCACAGGCCTACTCTTGGGCCCCAGGGAGACCCAGTTCTTTGGCATCTATTTTCCTCTCAGTTGATCTTACATAACAAATAAACTCACCATGGATGTAAGGTATGGAGACAGACAGTCAAAGGTGACCCCCCCCCCCCCACTGGATGATGATAGGCCACCAAAAAAGCTGTGGGAAGTCAGGGAAGGGGGAGTCCGCCAAAAAAAGAGTCAAAGTCAATTCCAAGAACAAGATAATGATTTGAGTGTTGATAATTTTGAGTGTGAGGTTCTGTGTGACGTCTAGGTGAAGTTGTCCTGCAAAGAGTAGATTATACAAATGTGAGCGGAGACAGAACAATCTGAATTGGAGGCAGAAATTTAGGAGTCATCAGCATACAGATGATCATTAAAAGCTTGAGAGCGCTTGAGATCCTCCAGGAAGCATACAATGGGAGAACAAAGAACATAGGAATGAGTTCCTAGAGCACAGCTAACATTTAAGACACAGGCAGGGAAAATGATCTCTCGAAGACACTGGCTAAATTTCAAATTACCCCCAAATTTAGTAGCTAAACAATTAGGCTGAGGGCGGCTCCTGAGATTGCAGTCAGTCTCTTCTTTCTAGGTCCTTCTCTCAATTAGTGAGAGATGGCATTAGTAATAATAATAGATAATAGATGGTTTTATTATCTATCTGCACAAAGTCTCAGTGGCCTCTTTAACAGTTTTATCTCTTTACCTTCTATTTCCACTCTCCCACCTCTCCCTTTCAATTTGAACTCTGAAATATTTATCGGTTGTATTCTATCTCCTCCACTCCCAGTGCCAGAAGTAATGTTTCTTTCTTTTCAAGAAGTATCAGTTGGATAAACCTTTATATAGGAGAGCTTTAACTGACCTTTATAATGTGCATGGCCTTCTGGAACACCCTTTGCCCCTCTTTGTAATTTCAGCTTCTCCACATCGGTTTATTTTGGTTTTCATAAAGAAACTTGCGGGGCACCTGGGTGGCTCAGTCAGTTAAGTGTCCAACTCTTGATTTCAGCTCGGGTCATGAACTCCTAGTTTGTGAGAACAAGCCCCGCCCTGGGCTGTGTGCTGACAGCACAGAGTCTGCTTGGGATTCTCTCTCTCTGCTGCCTCTCCCCCACTTGCATGCATGCTCTCTCCCTCAGAAGAAATAAATAAACATTAAATAAGAAGGAAAGAACCTTGCTTCTATCCTTGCATCATCCTGCTTTCTATAATCTTGCCTCTTGGCCTCTCTTTAAAGATTTTTGCTCTTTCTTCATGATGAGTCCCAATATTGGTCCATCTCTGAATGCCTGGCATTGAGCTCAGACTTCTTTTTGGATGAATGGATATTTTCTTTGCCTTTTTCAACCCAGCTTTTGTCTCTGTGCTTTCTAGAGTGACCTCACCTTCACTGCTTCAGACTCACTACTATCATCCTGGCATAGTGAGACAGGATTGCTCAACAGCACCCTAACACCCTGGCTAATATTCTCTTACACCTACAAGCAATCCTTCACACTGCTAAGCTGATCTCTGCCAGTGCCAGTTTCTTTCTAGCCATGTCAGGAATAAGTGCGGGTGCCTACAGATTACACCACTCCTATCTTGCAGCCAATTAGAACACAGTAGCTAAGAAGAGCTCAGTCTTCCAGGAGAGGTAGGGAGTAGTTTCCTGGTGCCATTTTGCTCGGCTTTGCCACTTCCCAGCATTGAAGACTGAGTAGAATTGTCTTCAGTTGCTACTGTTAGAATAGATTGTCAAGTTTTAACAGGATAAAGATCAACAACAAGGAAGTCATGGCCTACTATCAGGAAGGTCAGAGGCCTATCCTGGCAGTACTCCAGATGGAGCTGGATAAAACCAGACAGGCCTAAAATGGCAGGTGCCATGACAGGAAACCCCTGACCAAATTAGGGAGAAAAAGCACAAGGCCCTGCTTCTGGCCATATTCTGCCCCTTAGTTAATAACCATCAATAAAAGATAGAAACCCAACCCCCAGGGTACACCTCTCTCTCTCTCTCTCTCTCCTAATCACCTATATAAAGAATGTATCTTTTACTTTAATAAACTTTTCCATTTATGTCGCTCATCTACTGTGTTGAGTGTCTGTCCTCAAATTCTTTCTCAGGTCAAGACCAACAAGTCACCTTCCCTGACTCCCTCCAGATGGGCTGGGTCAAGGCCCTAGAGCCCGGGGTCTCCCCAGCTCACCCAACAATACTTCCACTAGCCTTAGATCTCAAGGCAACAAAAATCCTATTCATGTTTCAAAGGCTAAGTTCAAGGCAACCTTTTCCGTGAATCTTTTCTTTATTTTACTAGTCAGAATTTGTCAAGCCCTCTTTGGCAGTGTAGCATAAGAATTAACAGCTCGGCCCTAGAATCAGACTTTCTGGGTTTCAATGCTAGATGGACCACTTCCCAGCTGTGTGACCTTGGACAAATTTCTTTCTTTTTTTTAATGTTTTTATTTATTTTTGAGACAGAGAGAGACAGAGGATGAGCAGGGGAGCGGCAGAGAGAGAGGGAGACACAGAATCTGAAGCAGGTTCCAGGCTCTGAGCTGTCAGCACAGAGCCTGACACGGGGCTCAAATTCACAGACTGTGAGATCATGACCTGAGCTAAAGTCAGATGCTTAACCGACTGAGCCACCCAGGCGCCCCTGGACAAATTTAACCTGCGTTTTCTTATTGGTAAAATGGGGAAGATTACAGAAATCATCTTAAAGATAAGAAATTAAATGTCTAATCCTACATAAATCACTTTTAACAGCCTCTGGCACAGAGTAAGCACTCAATAAATATTCACTATTATGGTTAGCAACATTGGACCTGCATATTAAATTTAATACATTTTTGTTAGTATCTACTACGTGACGGACACTTTACCAAGTCACGAGGCGATAGTGGTGTGTGGATAAGATAGACATGTTTCCAGACTTTTTGGAACTTACCATCTGAAAGTCTATTAAATAAGCAATCGTAAAAGAAAAGGTCTTTCATTTTGTTTTACTTTAAAAGACATGACAGCTTATAGAAAATGGATTTGCTAGTCTGTGAGATTAGGAAAGACCCCTCCCCACCAAAGAAGTGATGTTTAAGCTAAGATTTGAAATAGGAGTGGGAATTAACCAGGTCAAGCTGTATAGCGTGTGTATGTGAGAGAACGTGTATGTGTTTGGTTTATGGGAGGATGGGGGGAGGGGGAAAAGATGTCAGAGAACATTCCAGAAGGTAAAAGCAGCATAAATGGGCCCTTTGGTAGCAGGAAGCATAGGCTGTGGAAATAGAAAAGTGTCTAAAGGGCTGGAGTACCCTTAGGGAGAGATTAACTTGGAGTAAGTCTAGTTTAGACTACCTCCTAAAGGCAGTGGGAAGACTGAAAATTTTTAAGCAGGGAAGTGACATGGTTAAGTTACATTCTCCCTTTATATTGAGCACTTTCCCCAGGATGCCTTGATTTAATGAAAACTGTACACATTTTAGTCATTTCCATTAGATGGTAACTTTAGTTTCCCCGTCTGAGTCCATTCACGTCGGTATGACAAAATACCACAAACAGAGTAGCTTAGAAAAAGCAGAAATTTATTTCTCACAGTTCTGGAGATGAGACTATCAGAAGTTCTGGAAGTCCAAGATCAGAGTGCTAATCTGGTTGAGTTAAGGTCCTCTATTAGGCTACAAACTTTTCACATCCTCACATCCTGGAAGGGGCTGGGGAGCTCTTTGGGGTCACGGGTATGAGAGCAGTAATCTCATTTGTGAAAGCCCCTCCCAAAGGCCACACCTCCTACCATCACATCGGGCACTGGGATTTTAACATATGCTATGAAACGTAAAGTTTCAGACGATAGCATTCCCTGTGCGGAACAGTCCCCCAGTATATGCTAGGGAATCTGGTCCCAGCCACTGACTGAAGACATGGGCGTCTCTTTCTCACACTGGAGTGACAGCCTATCGCAGAGGACCTCTGGAAAGAGAGGTTAATCACTGAGACTAGCAACCCTCCCACTCATAGCTGACAATTGCCAAGTTGGCTAAGAATTTTTTAATTGAAAGTTTTAATTTTTAACTAGGTTGTTCAGTTCAGGGTATTTTTTTTCCATGCAAAAAAAATGAATATGGTATTAAAAAAATGTGAAAAAGTCTGAACATCACAAAAGATTGTTCAAGGAAATACAAGCCTGCTGCCACTCAAGATTTCCAGATTTCCATTCCACAGTTCCCCTTCTGAAGGGCAAACACTCTCTGCTTTGTCTATTTTTCCAGTAATTTCCTATGCACGTAAAAGCCTTTTTTTGCTTGCTTGTTTTCCCTTATTTATTTATTTACTTACTTACTTACTTTTTAACAGACAGTAGAAGTGTAAAGGTTAAGAGACAATGCAGAACTTAACCTTTCTGCTTAAATTAATCAACATGCAGAAACTATTCAAAACCGAGCTGGCCCAGAAGCCTTCGTGGTCAGGATTAGCTTTATCATTTCTTTCTTCCTTTCTTTTTTTTACACAAATGAAAGTATATTGCACATCTGTTACACAAATTGTTCTGTAATTATTAACATATTTAACATCTGAAAGTCTCCCTGTGTTCTCAGCCCTTCCTATGCGGTGTCTCATTGTATTATCTCATAACACCCTTTGGGCTCCCTCTGGTGAGTCTCTCTATTTCGCGGAAGGAATCTGACACACAAGAGAAGTTACTGTGTCCTGTTCTCAAGAGTCATGGAGCCCGTACTGGAGTCCAGCCATGTCGCTTCAGTGCTTCACTCTTAACTCCTTTGCTCAAATACCTTTCAAATCATTGCTTGATTTTTATTTTATTCCATGCTTATTTAGGGTGGTTTTCTGTATGTTGTTTTTAACATCTCGTGATTCTCTTTTAGACCAAAGCCGACAAAAACTTCAGAACTGAATATTATGAAGAACAGATGCAAGCATTCAAACAAATTGTCCAAGAGAGGACATCGAATTTTAACGCAGATATAAATTTAAAATTCACACCTACGGAAGCAATTGAACAGTGCAAAAGTAAACTTCAAGAAACTTCTGACAATAAAGCACCCCTAGGTCTTACAAATGCTGAGGCTAAATTTCGATTTGGGTATTCCAAAAATGAAACTTACCAACTGTTTTTGACACATTCTTCAAAGAAGGTAAGTTCAAACACTTAAACAGAGAATATGATGGGATATTTTTCAAAATAACCAAACCCCTTCTTCATGTTTTTTAATTTTTTTTAATGTTTATTTATTCTTGAGAGTGAGAGAGACAGAGCATGAGTGGAGGATGGACAGAGAGAGAGGGAGACAAAGAATCCGTAGCAGGTTCCAGCCTCAGAGCTGTCAGCATAGACCCCGATGCAGGGCTCGAACTCAGGAACCGCGAGATCACCACCTGAGCCGAAGTCGGACGCCCAGCCAACTGAGCCACCCAGGCATCCCCCTCTTTTATTTATTTATTTTTTAAGATATGGGTTTTTTAAATTTTTTTTCTTTATTTGTAAAGTTTATTTTTATTTTGAGAGAGAGAGAGAGAGTGAGGAGGGAAGGGACAGAGAGAAAGAGAGAGAGAGAGAGAGAGAGAGAGAATCCCAGGCAGGCTCCACGCTGACACTGATGTAGGGCTCGAACTCACAAACCATGAGATCATGACTTGAACCCAAACCAAGAGTCAGTGCTTAACAGATGAAGCCATGCAGGCACTCCCCCAAAACTGTTTCTTTTAAGTGTTTGGAGCACATAGAGCTCATTGGAAAGAGAGAGAAAAAAGAGAGACAGGTAATAATAGTCAACAAATCCTCAAATATGTAGCTAGAAGGTCAGGAAGAAGAATGCAGACTGGAGAAGAACTTGACAGGATCTGCAGTAGTATAAGGGGGTGAGATGTTTGGTGGTGACGAACAGAGAACAAGCGTATTTAGAATTCAGAGCATACCTTTGGACTGAGATTGTGGTAATAGACTGTTCAATTTATGCTATCTTCAGAATTACAATGAAGAATCATACTGAGGAATTTTGGTAATTTACTGCAATGCCTTACACTGATGGCTATGTACTTACTATAAAGTGTCTCTAAAGTAATGATGCCATGAAATTATACACGTAGCATATGAAACTTGTCTGCTTCCTTTGTAATCACACCTTTAGTTTGAAGCTTTGCAAATGTGTTTGTTTTTTAATATTTAATCCCAATTTAGAATTTTGTTTCATCCCCTTTGAAATAAATATAGAATATACTTTCTGTAATCAGTATGATGCTGGTAAAATGTTCCTTCTTCATTTTCTGATAACACAGTCACTTATTTAGATACCCTCTCCTCCTTTAAAAAATAATAATAATTCACTCAGTACTTTGCTCAATCATTATAATTGTTTTGTATGGGTCTGTGCATTGTCTCTATATTAACATGCATACCCATCCAAAGTATGTAGTTGGAAAATCCTTTAAGTCATGCAGAAAATATTTAATGTGGATTTCCTACGTGGCCAGGCACTGTTCCAGGTACTTAGGATACATTTGTGAACCAAACTAGAAAAAATTCCGGTCCTCATGGAACTGAAAGTTCATCGCAGAGAGATAGATAAAATAAACATAAGCACAAAATAGCAAACCACATAGTATTTAGAACGTGTTAAGTGCTATGGAATAAAGTCAAAAGTAGAGTAACAGAAGGGAAATCAGGAGTGCTGGGAAAATGGCAGTATTAAAAAGAAAGCTCAAGGAAATCTGAGTGAAGATTTGAAGGAGAGGAAATAACCAAATAGTCATATTTGGGATGAGGCACCTGGCAAAAGGAACTGTTAGAGACGAGCATATCTGTCCATTGGCCCAGAGTGAACCAGAAGGAGAGTAAGTTAGAAAGGTTACCCTGAACCAGGTCATGAAATTTAGCTTTTTCTCTGAGTGGTGTGGGAGGTCACTAGAATAATTTTTTAATAGAAGATTGACATACTCTAGGGGTGCCTGGGTGGCGCAGTCGGTTAAGCGTCCGACTTCAGCCAGGTCACGATCTCGCGGTCCGTGAGTTCGAGCCCTGCGTCAGGCTCTGGGCTGATGGCTCAGAGCCTGGAGCCTGTTTCCCATTCTGTGTCTCCCTCTCTCTCTGCCCCTCCCCCGTTCATGCTCTGTCTCTGTCCCAAAAATAAATAAACGTTGAAAAAAAAAAAATTAAAAAAAAAAAAAAAGAAGAAGATTGACATACTCTAATATAATTTAAATGATAAGAAATATGAGAGTTAAGAGCAAAAGCAAGATTTGTTGAAAGCTATTGTAAGAATCCAGGTGAGTGATGATGGACACAAGTATAGAGTCAAGCATGACTCTAAGGTTTTTCACCTGAGCAACTGGAAAGATGAAGTTGCTACCAAACGAGATAGATGGGGCACCTGGGTGGCTCAGTCAGTTAAGTGTCCCATTCTTGATTTGGCTCTGGTCATGATCTTATGGTTTGTGAGATCAAGCTCCATGTTGGGCTCTGTGCTGACAGCATGGAGCCTGCTTGGAATTTTCTCTCTCTCTCAAAATAAATGACTACACATTTTGTAAAAAAAAAAAAGAGAGAGAGAGAGAAGATCCAACACTAAACTCAAGGAACATCAATAGAAAGAGGAAGAAGCAGCAGAGGACAGCAAGATGTGGCAGGTATAATGCCCTAGAACCTCACTACTCAAAGTGTGGTCCATGGGTCAACAACATCAGCACCACTGGGAAGCTGGAACCTCAGCCTTTAAGCCAGACCTGCTGAATCAGAATTGCATTTTAACAAGATTCTACAGGTGATGTGTTCGCACTTTACAGCTTGAGAAGAACTGCCCTAGGAGATAAGAAAAGAAACTATCAAGGAGGAAGGAGTAATGAGCTGTGCCAAATGTGCTAATATGTCAAAGAAGAGGGACTCAGAAGTAACTGCTACCGGCTTTATCGCTGTGAAGGTCACTGGTGACCTTGACAAGAGAAGTTTTGTTGAAGTAGTGAGGAGAGCTGAATGACTGGATTAGATTCAAGAGAAAATGGGGAGAGAGGAATTGAAAACAGCCAGTACAGAGAGTTCTTTAAATGAATTTTGCTTTTAATGAGGACAAAGAAATGGGTAGCAAATCATTAGACAAGTGAGGCCAAGAGATTTTGACACAGAAGGAACAACTTTATGTTTGGATGGAAATGATCTAATATCTACCTCTAAAATAAGTGGGGCCAAAGAATATAATGTCTTTCTGACAAGTTATACTCCTAATTTAGCAACAACGAAAAGGAATCCAAATATTTTTTGTGCATCCTTGAGACTCCACTGAGAATTATGATGGAGGTCATCAGGAGAACTCATATGATTTATTGTATACGGAGTAAGTTTCTTTAAGATTTTTGTTAAAGACTGAATCACCGACCATCACGTGGAGTGAAGTTATACACTGTGAACATCTGTGCTTCCAGAACACAGAAAGTTTGGTGTGATGTTCATATATACCAAGCTATGCTTTTAAAAACTAATAATATGCTTCAAAGGTCTATGCAATCAACATGTGTTAACCACTACTCTAGAAGAACCTTAAACGAACCATCTACAAAACCATAGGTGTCAATTATAGTTTAGTTTTGGCCAGGACAGTCTATGGTTTTCTCTTGGAAATTTAAGCCATCATCTCTGGGAATGATTAACTGTTCACCTATTTAGGTCTTAAAATATTGTCCACCTTATTATTACCAAAAATTGAGTGGGGTGTCTGGGTGACTCAGTAAGTTAAGCGTCTGACTCTTGACTTCTGCCCAGGTCATGGTAGCATCGTTCATGATATCAAGCCCCGTGTTGGGCTCTATGTTGACAGCGTGGAGCCTACTTGAGATTCTCTCCCTCTCCCTCTCTGTCTCTGTCTCTCTCTCAGAATAAATAAATAAACTTAAAAAAAATTGAAAGTACATAGTAGAAGGAGCAGGGAGACCTGAAGCCTACATTTATAGGACCAATCACTGCACAGTCTATTTTTGTGATTTGGGGCAAATAACTTGATACCTTTGGATCAGACTTTCTTGGTCTGCAAAATGAGAAGAGTAGGCTGCACACATAATGTCTACTTTTTCTTTCATTGCCAACATTCTAAAATCAACTTAATGAGGTATGATTTATAAGCAAAAACACACAAATATTTTAAGCCTATAGCTCCATGAGTTGTGACTATTGTAGGTATCCATCTGTGTAACCACCTCCTCATACAAGATATAGAACGTTTCCACCACCTCAAGAAAATTCCCTCATGCCCTTTTTCAGCCACTCCCTGCCTGAGAGGCAAGCACTCCAGAATTCTCTGACTGTAGCTTGATTTCACCTGTTCTAGAACTTCATATGAGTGAAATCACAGAGTACGTACTCTTTTGTGCTTGGCTTTTTTCATTCAGAGTCCTATTTTTAAGATTTATTTATATTATTGCATGTATCAGTAGTTTGTTCCTTTTTTATTGCTAACTGGTATTCCTTTGTGTGAACATACCACAATTTGTTTATCAGTCTTCTGTTGGTGGACATTTGAGTTGTTTCCAGTTTTAAGCTATTCTGACTAAAGCTGCTATGAAAGTCTTGTATGGATCTTTTTGTGGGCTATTTTCTCATTGCCCGGAGGTCAATATGTAGAAGTGAAATTACTGGCCATAGGGTAAATGTGTGTTTACCTTTATAAGAAACTGCTAGGCAGTTCTCCAGGGGGATTAGACCATTCTACATTCCCACCGGCAGTGTTTGAGAGCCCCCGTGCTGCACACTTTCATCAACAGTTGGGACTAATGGCATTCTGAGTTTGCCACCCTACTGGGTTAAAATATCTATGGTCACCAAAACAAAACAAACAAACACAAATTATTTCCTGGGGAAATTCTAAATTTTGTGATTTTTAACTTTGAAATAATGGCTACTAAACTCATATTTATTTTCTTCTGCTCTACAACAAAGGAAAAAGTGTTCCTGCATGTGAAGGGAGTAATTCATCTGGGAAGATTTACGATGAGAAGTCGGGATGTCATGCTGACAACAACTTTCTTGGAGGACATAAAAGCTCTGCCACCTACCTATGCAAAGGGGGAATATTTTGCATTTTTGGAAACCTACGGAACCCACTACAGTAGCTCTGGGTCTCTAGGAGGACTCTATGAACTAATATATGTTTTGGATAAAGCAGCCATGGAAGAGAAAGGTACACCTAGAAACAGAGCTCTTACCTCTAAAGCTGTTTTAACCAATCATTATTCCTGTTGCTAACCTCTTTCAATGATTAAAGGCTTTCAGATAAATTCCTATACACTGCTTCTTTGAGAGAACTCTCTCTCTCTCTGCCCTTTGGCATCAAAATCCCGTTAAAACACCAAATAGCGAATTGACTTCTAGACCTCAAACACGATGACTTGATCATGAACTTGATCATGATGACTTGATCATGACTTGGTCAGCAGCACTACTACAAAATGCACAAAATTATACTGCAATTTAAGATCAGTTGGCGATGATGCTTTGAGTGGAATACTACTTAAAAAGTAGAAAAAGTACAAGAGACATAATTCACGTCATCTATTTCTGAATCGATAAATGGGTTCCATTACATGTTTGTCAATACTTTTCCAAAGGACTCCTGAGCATTGGAAGGGAAATAGTGTTCTAAATTTTCTCTGAGGGAGGAGGGAGAAAGTGATATTAAGATGTAAATCTAATGTCTTAAAGCAAAGGTGGAAAATTAGTTTTACCTCATAGAATGACAAGTTTAATCATATGGTGGTAGTTGAATTGACTCCACGTTGAGCAGATGTCTGACCACGCTTGAAGTTATGGGAAAGAAGGCCATGGTTGATCATCAATGTCTGCCATGGGTTCAGGAAAGGCCTACGTACTACGTAATTACCATACTGGCCTAAAGGTTTCATCTAAGCCTTTTAAGAATAAAGTGCATGCAAAGTGACTGTGTTAATAAGTTTTAATTACTCATTTCGTGAGAAATTGTGGCTAGTTGTAATATTCCTTACAGAGGAGATAGGTGCCAGCATATCTCCTTTCTCTGCCCTCAAACGTCTTCAGCGTGTCTCTTAGGGGTGGAAGTGTTGCCAAAAAAACGTTTCCGTGGCTCTTTCTCTTAGCCTCTGTCTGTTTCAAGCGAAGAATTGGATATGGCTATGCGCTTACAGCCGGACACTGTCCTCACAGTTTGTAAACATGTTAGAGATGAAACAACTATGAATAGCCAGAACTGACTGCTCTTGACGCCTCAGTCTAGTCTTGAGCGGGTAGAGGTGCTGCGAGGAGAAATGGAATATGGAGTTGTTTGACTTGTACTGCCTCACAGGGCTATACCCTGTGAGACAGCATAAGGAAGCCTCCTGAGTCCTGTCCGGCAGGCTATTTTGATAAATAGCACACGGGCAAGGGGCACGAGAGGACTGTGTCTTGAGTGACCTGAAAATCAGAAGAGAAAGGCTCAGCAACGGTGATCAAAACACAAGGAACACTTCAGGCTAAGAGTTGCCTTGGTGAAAAAGCTCCATGAGCTAAAATCTTTAATCTTGGGTAACTCAGACCTACCCACTTAAATTTACTTATCGTCTGACCTTAGTAGACAAGGATCATTAGGTCAGTCCTTTGAAAAGGAAGTCATCCTTCTTGCTTCTTCATTGGCAATACCTGAGGACCAAGCCACGTCCTACACCTAGATTTGGGATGTCCAGACCCTGTCTGGACAAGAAAAGGCCCACAGCTGAGGCAGAAAATCTAAGCTCATTGGGATCACTTAGAGATTTTCATACCCATCTTTGGAATCAAAGTCTTTATGCTTCCTAGGTTAAAGTTGGAAATCTAGTATTCTGGATTCCTTGCATGGCCTTCCATTTTTATCCTCCCTCTTCCTTTCATAGGGAAATCCACCTGATATTTCTCAAGTTCTCACTAGTGGTGGGTACACAAAAAATATTTGCTGAATAAATGAATGCTTAAATGTCCCCAGATCCCTACTTCTATATTTTACTATGAAACCCTGGGACTAACTTCACTTCTCCCTTTCCTTTTTCACAAAGCATTTGTGTGTGTGTGTGTGTGTGTTCTGAAATGATAAATAAGACTGAAAACTGACATGGTCAATGAACTGAGGCAGTTTACCCTTGTAATAAAATAATCATTTTCTCTTCTAAATAGATAATAAAGTATATACTTGAATTAAATATTAGGATTTTTCTTCCTAGTAACTGTAGTATCCACACACCAGTGAGTCAGCTTCCAAAACTGATGTCTACTAAGTAGCATTCATAGGACCAAAGCAAAGTTGTCGCATGTATAAGCCATCTGCTCAAAGCAATGAACTCACTACCTTAATGAGCAGAGTCTTCCAAAGAGGAATCTGAGATGTTGATGCATCCCACGACCAAATTATGAAGTCAATACAGAGAAGTGCTTAACAGCCAGACAACTCTGGTTCATATGGTAACTTGGCTAATTGCTGAATCCCACTGGCAGGTAACTTATCTGCTCTGTCGTTCCATATCCTCATCTGTAAAATGAGGATAATAGAACTTACCTTGAAAGGTTAATGTGAGGATTAAATTAATTGATGTTTGGAAAGATTTTGGGTATATGATGAGCATTGAATATATGTTAGACATCAAAGTCTGTCTCCCATGATGTTAGAAGTAAAGGACTTTACTGTAACTGCCCTATTCTGAGTGATGTCTCTTTTAAACAAGAAGTAAGTTTATATGTCCTTTGTTAGTAAGTTGACGAGCAAATTCAAAAGGAGGCCAATAGATTCTAATATTATCCATTCATCAGTTGATGGACTTTTAGGCTCCTTCCATAATTTGGCTATTGTTGAAAGTGCTGTTGTAAACATTGGGGTACGAGTGCCCTATGCATCAAAGCAGAGGAGATATGACCTTGCATTTGAGTTCAGTAATAATGTCTAGGAATCCGAGTATGTTTCTTACAAAATAGTACAATTGAAATGTATTTATTGAAATAATTTAGACCTTATTTAATGATTTTCAACTAAATACATTAAACAGGTGTTGAAATAAGGGATGTACAGAGATGCCTCGGGTTTAGTTTGGATGCTTCTCTGAATGCTGGAGCTGAACTCACAGGAAAGATCAATAAAAACGATTGTTTAAAGAGGGGTGAAGGTGGAACTGGTAAGTATGGCCTACCTCACTAGTTTAAAAAAAAGGAGGAGGTGTTGTCAATGAACACTGCCCCATCACTGTGAACTCTCTTTATTGTCCATCCTCTTTACTAAACAAACAAGCAAAACCTTTGAGTGATTTAAAACTTTTATTTTTACAGTGGTATGAACACAAGTACCCATGGACATGTATTCATTGGAAACATCATTGCTCAGGCCACACAGTGTGCAGCTCTCGGAAAGGCACTTACACTGTAGTCTTTGTAGATTTGCACATTTATCCTGGCAATGGTAGAAGGCCAATGGTAGAAAACGTCTTCAGCAAAAATCTCCTTTCCCCCCCTAATCTTAGCAAAGTTTCTGAATAGACTAGTGACATACTGTATGTAACCATAAACAGAGGAGAAGACTGAAACCATTTCCCTAATTCAGCCTTCCTCCCGGCTCAAAACTCCTAATCCGCCTTCGTCCAATGAGTCAAAAGGTATAAACTTCCAGTTATAAGATAAATAAGTGCTGGAGATGTAATGTACAACCTGATGACTGTAGCTAACAGTGCCGTGTGATATACTGGAAAGTTGCTAAGAGAGCAGAAACTAAAAGTTTTCAGCCCAGGAAAAGATAAATTGTTTGTAGCTGTACGAGGTGATGCAGGTGGTAATCATTTTGTGATATATGTGTATGGCAAAGCATTCTTTCTAAGTAGACCTTAAACTTTTACAGTGTGTCAACTATATCTCAATAAAACTGGGGGTGGGGGGGAAGTAATTCCAACCCATCCTTAACATTCAACCAGTGCATAACTTTTTTAAAAACATAAATATCTTTAGTATAAATGTTGCTTGTGTTGTTAATACTTAGCAGATTTACAAGCATGAGATAGTGCTAGAGTGCTCAATTTTTACTCTAATCAGAAATCCCTGAGAATATTTTTGGACATACAAATGCTTGAGACTTCCCTTTAGAGAAGCAGCTGATAGTGGGGAGGCAGAGAGAGAAAAGCCTAGTGTTTTTAAAAGCATACCAACCACTAACATGTGGCCATGATAAGAAACCACTGATGAGTGCAAAAAAAAAATTGAACTTGCCATCGAAAGTCCTAATTTCAATATTTGACCCTCAGGCTAGTCTTGGGCTAGTCACTCCACCTCTCTGAGTCTCAGTTTTCTCATCTATAAAAATGAAAAAAGATAAACAAAAATCTTCTTGAAATTCCTTCCAGCTCAAAAAATTTACAACTCTATAAGATTCACAAAAGTGTGTTAAAAGTCTGGAGAGAGAAACTGAAGGAGAGAGGAGTAGGAATTTAGGATGGAAAAAAATTTTGTTTTTCACCTGATTCTTTTTTACACTCTCTGATTTTTTTTTCGTAATATTAAATTAGTATGAAGCAAAGTTATATAAAATGTAATTATGAAGTAAGTCTTAAAACAAAAAATTTCTAGTACATCCCAAAAGTCACGTTTAGTTCCCACGTATGCATGGGCATAAATGATGAATTTGGAATCATCAATGTATCTAAATCATCATTTTTTTTTAAGACAACTGGAGTCTACAATTGACTACTAATAAAACTTGCTCTTGGAGATTTTGGGTGAAAAAATTATATAAGTAAAATTCAATAAATATATTAGACTATACTTTTTGAAAAGGTTCAATAAATGTTGGTCAAATGTCACAGAACTATAAATGTTTCACTTATATCCTCTTTCTCTTCTCAGTAAACATCACTAGTGATAACCTTATAGATGATGTTATTTCACTCATAAGAGGAGGAACCCAAAAATATGCATATGAGCTGAAAGAGAAGCTTCTCAAAGGAGCCAAAACGGTTGATATGACTGACTTTGTAAATTGGGCCACTTCCTTAAATGATTCTCCAGTGCTCATAAGTCAAAAAGTAAGGGATGTTTATTTTCTTTTTTTTTTTTTTCCTATTCTATAAGGTCCAATGAAAATTTTTATTTATTTATTTTTAAAGGTAATAATTTATTTTTATTTACATGCATATAATCATAAGCTTTTTATTTTTTTTATTT